CCTGGAAGGGAAACAGGTTCAAAGCAAGAAAAATGTTTATGCATACCAGAAATGCCACAAGGGGCTGGGATATTATAATGTGACCTTTTAGATGTACCCAATGGCTGAGACATTATAATGTAGTTTCTTAAATGTATCCAATAGAGTTGCAAGTAGTGCATTGTAGAGTGCTTATATAAGGGGTGATTTCTTTCAATAAACTTGAAGCTTGCTCTGTCATTCACATTGAATCGGCTGCTTGCTTCCTCTGCCCGCCGCAGTTGGATATTCAAAATTCCCCAAATTCTCAAACACAGTTGTAAGTAGCCTCAGGACTGACAACTTCATCGTGCCATCAATCAGTGTTACACAGCTCAGCAGAACAAAAGTCTTAACCCAGCTCCCACGGGCGGTGAGCAGCAGCAGGGGGACTATATACAGCAAATGAGGTGATGAAATTTTAAGGCGCCAAGTGATGGACATTATGCCCAGCAATTGATAAGCCGATATAATGAATGCTTTAACCAATGGTTATGACACACTGACCCGATCTGCCGTTATCTCGACCCTTCGAGCCCCTCGCTGGGCTCCAAAAAGGACTCTGGTGGTTTGAACTCGGTCGGAGCCAAACACCACGCAGCGCTCGGTCGCCCTCCCTCCGTCGGGGGAACGGGGGAAGAGAGTGGAGGGACACAAGGAAAACTCGTAGGTTGAGATAACCCCCCCCCAGTTTAGTGATTGTAATAAAACACTAACAGTAATAGAAAGTACAGATGGGTGATGCACAAGGCGATTGCTCAGCACCCACCGACCGATACCCGGCCAGCGCCCCCAACAGAACGGAGATCCTGCCATCGCAAAACACAGCCCTGGGCCTGTGCTCCCTCCCAGCTGGAGAAAATGAACTCTATCCCAGCTGAAACCAGGACACTCTTGTAGCAGATTAAAGGTAGTCTGCGAGTGTCAGAGAGAACTGGACACGGGCGAGCAAACGCCTCAGGTGACCACAAGGGAGAGTCGGGGCAGGCTGGAGTGTTTCTGTGGTGACCAAAGCAGAAGGCCCGGGGGCTGTGCCGGGGTGTGTGAAGCCCCTGGGACCAGCCGGGGGGTACAGGAAGGTGCTGAGGGGACATGATGGGGGCCTGGGGCACCTCGAGAGCAGCCATGGCCCATGGTCCCCATCCCCTGCAGCGGAACCCCTGCCCCGCCCGGCCTGGGTGACGCGTCACAATGTGACCCCTTTGTGACATCGCTCCGTGTCACCCCCGGCACCGTATCTGAGCAGCACAGCCCCGCAGAGTCCGACAAGTCGGGGAAGGGACAGGGCAGGAGCGCAGCGAGGAGACGCCTGAGCACAGCCCACACTTTCCCCACCGCCCCCGGCGTTTAAGTTGAACCCCCCACGGTCCCTCAACCACTTCCCTCCATTTTTGAAGATGGCAGAGAGACCCCCCAGCAGCCCCAGGGTGGTTTGGGAGGAGGTGGGTGCTCCCCAGGAGAGCAGCTCTCCTCCAGAGCCCCACGAGGTGTCCGTGGTCCAGCCCCTGCAGATGGGTGAGTAGACGGCTCCCCGGGGCTGGCTCGATGCCGGGACCCCGTTCCCTCGGTGTGGGGCCATTTAAAGCTCTTCGCCGCCCGGGAGGCTCGTTGGCGAGGGTGGCGTGTCCTACCGACTCTTCCCTGTTTCCCTGTAGGCGAGACACTGCCGGAGGAGGATCCAGAGCTCCGACCAGGGTCCGATTCTGAGAGCACCTCGTTGCTTTCTTGGCTTGAGAGCAGCGACATGACAAAGGTAATGAGCCCCCCCCTCGCAGGGACCCTTGTCCGTGGCATCAGCTCGTGCGAGCAAAGGGACCCAGGGACGGTTGAGCTGATCAGCCGTGCAGCACCGTCGGCATGCTCAGAGTGACACGTCTTCCCCCATCCCTCCTCCCGTAGGTGTTTGGCAAATACCTCCGGCCTTCTCAGAGGACGGACATTCTCCTCATGGCCATCAAGGCCTTGACGTCAGACGATGTCCGGGACAGGCAGAAGGGCACAGATGTCGTGTACATGGCTGTGAGGGACCCCGCGTCCTGGCTGACGGATGTAAGTGCCCCGTGGCTGGACTGTCCTCCTGTGTCAAGACGTGTCAAGCCTTGTTCTTCCCTCCTGCCCTAACCCGGCTCTCTCAGGCACCCCAAACCCTTTCAAGGCAGCAGGGAGGGGTGGGAACGGCAGCACCATCCTTACCCATGTCCCCTCCAGGTGCTAGAAATTATGAGATACATCCACAAATCTGTGGAGCACGTCCGCACGGAGCCAGCCCGCAAGAGCCTGGACTCACTGCTGCTGGTGTTGACAGACTGGAGCCCCAGGGAGACGGTCAGGAGCCTCTTGAGGATCTCTCCAACGTGTGACAGGTACCGGCCCCGACAGCCTTGAGGGCTCGTTCCCCAGGGGGAGAGTGGCCCAGAGACTCTCTGGCTGCCAGACCCACGGCAAACCGCAGGATATCTATCCCCGAGGAGCAGGGCTCTCCATCCCACCACGCTTCCCCCTTCAGCCAGAGCCGGCCAAAGCAGAGCCCCTGCCCCATGGGAACAGAACCTCACCCTCCTCTGCCTCCGCGGGCACCCCGAAATGAGGGGGTGGACAGGGCCGGGGTCCGGAGGAGCCGAGGCAGCTCTGCTGAGCGAGTTGGCTCTGGCTCCGCAGGGCAGCCGTGGCCATGTGGGAGGTGCTGATCTCCGAGTACTGGGCTCTGCGGACAGTCATGTTGGAGCTGGTCGACGTGCTGCAGGACCAGCGGCTGCGCAGGGTGTTCAGCTCTGCCATGGAGGACGCCTGCATCTACCCCATGATTGTGAGTGACCCACACCCAGCCCCAGCGCTCTGCCTTCCTCCTCCTCCTCCACCTCCTCCTTCTCCCAGACCCCTGTGCCACACGCTCAGGCCCACCCCATGCTGGTTTGGCCCCACCAAGCCTGTCCCAGCACAGGCAGTGCTCTGCCTTCCCCCCTGCCTGCATCCCCCTGCCCAGCTCTGGCCCTGGGACAGAGATGTGGGGACTCAGAGGTGGCTTCAAGGGGAAAGGAGACCCTTGCCACGGGCCGTGCCAATGTAGGGGAGGGATCCCTGCAGCTCTGCTTGTCTCTCACCACTGTCTCCATTTTAGCTGCTGGCCAGCGATGACATTGACAACAAGGATTTTGCTGCCCTCTACAATGCCCAGAGGTTCCTGAGGTGTCCCAGCCCGGTGATGCTCTCGCTGGTGCTCACAGGCCTTGTGACACTACCAAAAACACCTGAAATGGTGAGCTGGGGGTCAGCAAGGGGAGCCATGTTTGTAGTCGGAGCCTGTGGGATGTGTTGGCTTGGCCTCATCCAGGAGGATGTGGGGTGGCGGCTCCAAGCACCCTCCCTGCTCTGGAGGGGCTGGGGGGGTGCCTGGGGCGGTATTTCACTGCTTTACAAGAAGGTGACCGGTGTGTTCCGTACAGGCAAGGAAAATGCTGGTGCTGCTGCCCGACATCATGGAGAACTTGCTGGCAGCCAACGCTGATGTCAGGATGAAGGCCCTGATGCTCTTTAACAACGTGATTCATCACATGAAGAGGGAAGAGGCCAACCTCATTGCTCTGAGGCTGGCGGAGAAGCTCCTGCCCCTCTTCGATGATGTAAGGCGGCAGCCAGAGCTGAGGCAATGGGTGAAGGACCTTCAGCTCCAGCCCTGCAGGCAGCATTTGGGCAGGGGTGCCTCACTGGCTCCTCTTGTGTGGCCTTTCAGGGTGCTTCCCACTCTCTTTCCATGGCCTTTCCAAGCTCTTCCCCTCCCCGCTCCTCTTCCACGGCCTTTCAGTGCTCCGGGGCCGTTGAGCTGCAGCTGCAGGTCTGGCCGACGGCTCCTGGTTCAGGATCCAACCCCGGAGCAGCTCCTCTCCCCCCGCCACGCTAACGCCCCTGCTCCCCGTGGGAGAGGAGCAGCTGGTGCTGAGCTGCTTCTGTCCTCCTCCCTGCCAGGAGTGCAGCCGGGTGCGGGAGCTCTCCATCAGCCTCTTCAAAGATGTGATGAAGACCGTGGTGGGGAGAAACACCAAAAAAATGGAGGAGAAAGTGCAGGGTGTGGTGCTGCCGCTGTTCTTCCACACCAACGAGAAGATCGAGAGCGTCTCCAAGGTGCAGTGATTAGTGACTGGTGTCGCGGGGAGGGGCGTGCTGACACCATGGGGGTGGCCTGGGCATGAGGGTAAAGGGAAATGTGTGTCACCACAGGATCCCGCTGTGCTGGTCCCACCTCCACCGGCCTCCTTCCCCTCTGCTGCAGAGCTGGAGGGAGAAGTGGGAGCCCCCCAGCCCACAGGAAGGGTCCCTGCAGCCCCAGCACCAGCAGGGCTTGGGAACTGGGCACAGACATTTCCGTGCTCAGCAGCGGCCTGTGGCCACCAAGCACATGAGTCCCCACGGGCTTTGAGAGCTTTGAGTCCCCATCTCTGTCCCCCGGGGCTGTGCCAGGCCCAGAGCAGGAGGATGCCAGCTCTCCTTCCCTGGGCTCTGATGCCATCTCCCAGCCTCTGCTTCTCCGCAGGCTTCCTGGAACACCCTCCGTGCCTCTGCAGAGTTCCTGGGCTGGAGGAGGCTCAGCTTCCTGGCTGAGACAGAGCAGGCACACCAGATCAGAGAGTGCTTGGTGAGGACAACCCCCAAACCCCCGGGCCGGGCTGGACGGGGGCTGCAGCCGTGCCTGGGGGGGCTGTGCCGCTCTGCATCGCGGCCCTGCTCCAGCCCCGCTGCTCCAGCTGCACCCTCCTTCCCTGCCCTCCAGCACGCAGCCCCCAGGGGCTCTTCTCCAGGAGAGCCCGACCCAGCTGGGCCCTGGCAGCGGGACGGAGGGGTCTCAGCACCCCCAGCCCCCTCTGCCTGCAGCTCTCTCTGGCCCTCAGCCCCACGGGGCTCCTGGCTGGGAGACGGGAGTCACTGGGAGGGAGTGGTGGGAGGGACTGGTCCGGACAGCTGCGGAGGGTCCGTACCAGCCCTGTGCCCTTGTGCTCCCTCAGATAACGCACAAGAGGAACAGCGTGGACGAGTATCTGCGCCAGAGCCTGCCCTACGTGGAGAACCCTCAGGCCACCGTGCGGGAGGAGGCCGTCAGGTTCATCGGTGAGTGCCCAGACCCATTTCGGGCCACCCAGCCCCAGTCCCCACTGGTGGGCTCGCTGGGGGCCTTGATGGGTCCCACTGCCCCCTTGCCGGGGGACAGCCCTGCCCAGGGGGATCAGAGTTCTGACATTAGTTCTGTGCCCCAGGTCTTGCTGCGCGGCACCAGAGGATCCTCAGGCTGGAGAAGCTGTGGGACATCTGCCACAGTGAGTAGGGGCAGTGCTGTGCTGGCGCGGGCTGCTGGGGCAGGAGACAAAGCCTGGGCTCCTGGGCTCTCTGCAGGCAGGGGGGGTTCACCTCTGCTCTGTTTCCTTCTCTTGCAGCCCTCCAGTCCTTGGGCAAAGACGCTGAGTTCTCCATCAGGTCCCTGGCAGCTCAGACCATCCTCATCCTGACAGCTCTAAAGCAGAAGCCAAAGTCAGGATGGAGCCTGTGGTCACTGTGCTGCTGCGCCTGATGAGTCTCGGAGAGGTGCAGGTCTTGGGGAAACGGCTGTACTTCAATAAATCTTTTTATAAATCAGGCTGGTGCAACAAGCCCAGTCCCATGGTGTGCTTCCCGCGGAGACCCCTCCCAAGCTGTGTCCCTCTGCTGCTGCCCCCAGGGCCCCACACACAGGGTGTCCCGCGAGACCACAAAGCCCAGAGAGGAGAAGGAGGAGGAGGAGGAGGAGGAGGAG